CTGTAATGTGTGTGTTTCTTCCCCTTGCAGATAATAACCATAACCTAATAACATAATAACCTGTTCCTGTTTCCCACTTCTTGTTTTCTTGCAAACAGACAAACTTCATTTTAACTTCATTTTAACAAAAGGAACCTGCTCCCTTACCTGTCTCAGATGAGGAAATGGAGATCTTGGACATGCAGGTTGCCACAAAGTTACTATGACAGAAATGGTGGCAGCTAGAAACAAAAAAGCTGAGGACACTGCTCAGCTCCTGTGCTTAGTTCAGGGAGGAAGATGGGGGCTTTGAGGAACCTGGTCCAGTGGGAGGAGTCCCTGCCCATTCACGGGAGTTGGAACTAGATGATCTTCTAGGTCCCTTCCAACCCAAACCATTCTGTGATTCTGTGATTCATCAGATAACAAGATTTTGATGCTTTCCTTTCAGATGTGTCTGCACTAAACAGCCACTCATTTGCAGAACTGTTCAGGCAACAAGTCTTGGGGAGCTGCAGTTTGTATAGCAACCATAATCACCCCCACACCTCTAAAAAGCAGCCTAGGGAGCACTAGCGACTCAAAGCGCTGTGAACAGAGCAGGGGGCTGCAGCAGGGGCACAGAATGGCAGGTCACACAAGAAGGGTGTGCAGGAAGGTCGCTGAAGCTCTGCCAGTTTGTCCAGGGAGCCTGGTAGAAAAAAGATAAGAAAGCCAGAAGGTCTGAGGCAGGCAAAGGAGACATTGGGAGGAGGAGAGAGAGAACCGCTGCTCCAGAATTGCTAACCAGGCCAAACTGCACTGATGTGAGCTGTCACAAAACAGAGGCAGGACTTGACACTGCACATGCATCTCCCTGTTGTCCCTGTGGCTAGATCACCTAAAACAGGCTCTTGCTATTTCCCATTGTGTGAATGACAGCATAGAGCAGACTAGGCACAACTGCACAAATACATTTTTAACACTGCCAGTAAGATAAAACCTATCATGCTTCTCTTTTTTTTCCCAAGTCTTCCTCCAAAAAATGCTGCATCTCCATGAGAGGTAACCCCAGAAAGAGCTCAGCTGCCCTACTGGAGCACCAACAGCCCTGCCAGGGTCTCACAGGCTGGGGACATCATTGTTTCCCTGCAAAACCTATAGGATCCCCTTCCCAGTTTATTGCAGGTTGCCTAACTCAACATTTGGCAGCTTAAACAAAAAACATACCTTCATAAACAATGTGCAAGCAGGTCCTCGGGAGACTTCTAAGAGCATAGGCACACCACACTGCCACCAATATGGTAAAAGATTGCTCTGCTGTACTAGAAAAACAAGTTACCATCCTGCTCAGCAAGGCAAGAGCCAGTACTAATGAAGCTGGCTCAGGACAGGGTTAAAGTGGGAAATGACGTGGTAGAGAGGCTGCTGCTTAATTAAGTTTAGCAAAACTGTGGTGGGCTGGTGCCTACTTGGAAAATTCAGCTGTAAGGGTCACAGTGAGAGCTCCACACCAATTTTCCTTCCAGTTCCCAGGGGAGGCCAAGCAGGAACTGGGCAGGACATGAAGGAGAAAGGCTGAGCTTCTAGATGCTTGTAGGAGAGCATTTATTACCCCTTGCTGCTCTTTGTGAAAAAAAGCATGGTATGTAAAGTCCTTCCAGCTCTGCAAGCCCATAAAAAGTACAGGATAAATGAGTGACCTAAGAATAGGTGCTTTTCATCTGTTTTTGCTGTGCGTGTTTTAACTCTCTCTATCCCAGGCAATAGGATTTCTCTCATTTGACAAGTATATCCTGTGGATGTTGGGGCTGGGGCTGTTGCAACTGGATGTCAGCAGTAAATGGGAAGTCTTTGCAGTCATTACTGGAGCTAGATCCATAGTCTCAGCTGTGCCAATGCCATCCCATACTCTTCCAAGGATGCCTGGCATAAAACTCAGGAGCCTGAAGAGGCTTTAAACATTTAGAATCAATGACCCATCCGAAAACAGAAGTGGTTCTGTCTTTCAGAAGGTGGTGCTGAGTTATGTGGAGACTATAGGGCATAGAACTGTGGAGGAAGGTGTCCTGGTTTGAGCCAGGATGAAGCCAATTTTTCTTTTTACTGATTTTTTTTTCCTTCAGTAAGCTTTCTTGTAACTAGCAACAGTGTGTTCTGCTAGGCTGATAAGACAGTGGAATGTTTTTCTAACTACTGAGGCTTCAAGGCCGCACCTGCACTCTGCCGGCTCAGACACTATGGGGAGATCTGTGACCCCCCCGTAGGAGGCTGAGTTAGACAGACAGCAAAATTGGCCAAAGATATTCCATTCCATATATCTACGTAAGCTCAGAGGAAGGTCAGAGATCACAGAAGACAACTTCCTTCCTTTTTTTTTTTTCCCTTCTCTTCCGTCCAGGGAGGACTCTGCTCATCCATCACCATCGACCCTTAGGCTCGAGCTCTCCTGACCCCCATAACTCTCTGCTTTCTCCAGCAGCAGCTTCAGGATTCCTCAGGACTCTTCCCAGTTCATGGAAGTGCTGTGGGAGTTGCTGAGGGTGGGGGGTGGTGAGAGGCTTTTGCCTACACCTGAATCTATCTGTATATAATTGTATATATTTTCTTGTATGATTCATTAGTGTTTTAATTAAAGCTGTGTAGTTTAGTTTTCAATCCAGCCAAGTCTCTCTCTTTTTCTCTCTCTCCTTCCCTACTTGGGTTGGGGGGGAGGGGGGATCGAGAGCATTGTTGTTGGACCTGAGTCAAACGGTGACAGAAGGTGACAAAGGGGGTAGAACACTATACTACAGTGCTTTCCTCCTTCCTTATCTGGTTTTCACTTCTCACATAACCTGGGCTTTGATATTTTCCCTGAGAAGCCTTGGATCAGTCCTGTTCTGTCTCTTCAGCCTTAGGAGTTCTGCTTGCTCTCTATCAGGCCATCCAACCCCAACTGGTTTTTGTCCCCTGAGCATTCACTGGGGATTGAGCATTAACACCTCACTGGGATTGCAGCTATCTTTGATCCTGCTGTATTTAGAAGCATGTCTAATTTAGATTTGCTTTGCATGCTGTGGCACTGAATTGGGAATGGATCTCCTGGGAGCTCACTGTGAAGAAATCAGCAGCTCCCAAGTGCTCAGGGTGTCAGGGAAGACCAAGACTGTTTTGTCTTTTTATTCCTTTGTGGGAGGTGTCATAGCAAAAACTCTTCCGTGCTTTATATTATAATTATCTCCAACTGCAGCTTCACTACTTGATTTGCAGTTACTGCACCTCAGAGATGAGCTGATGCATCTACAAGATTGCTACAAGGAGCTCAACTAGCTAGGCTATACCTAGAAGCCATGGCATGCAGGCAATGTTTCCTAGACAACCACAATATGGCCTGGGGAGTACTTCTGGACCCAGAAAGACACTAAGTAATCTGCAAAACATCTGCAAAACAGAATTAGGATTTGAACTAAAGCAAAAATAATACTTAAGTATAACAAAGTCAGTTTGGGTGGGAAGTGCTGGCTTTGCAGGATACTTTGGGTCTGTGCACTGTCCTGAAGACATGCTGTGGTTATTAGGTTGTGATAATTACTCTTGCATTATTGTTGTGGTTTTAACTTAGCAGGCAGAGACCACGACTGTGAAAAACCTAAGAGACACTTAGCATGGGTAGGTTTCCAAACACAGGAACTGTTTCTGCCCTCCACAGAGATGATCAAATAGCTCTTGATGGGAAAAGGAGTGTTTTTAGCATTTTGGGCAGCTTTGTGAGAGCTGTGTTGAAGGAAAAAAAAATCCTATCCTTCACACTTGACTGAAGACACAAGCGAGCTACTTCTTGGGCACTATTTCGGCACTGTAGAAACTATGCGTAGGTCACAGCTTTCTTTAAGTCAAAGAAAAACCATTTACAGCCTCTTCGGGATGAATGTGTAAGCAGTACAAGCCAAAGCCTTTAACACTGGTGACCAGGGAGGATTTGCAAGTAAATGAAACACCTGGTGACTGCTCTAGGAAGTGAGATGTTGGGGAATAGCATTTTTTTTGGCACTCCTCCTGCAAGACCACCCCTAGGCAATAGCAGGTTTGTCTCCTACATTTTTAACACTACATTCATTATTTTGTTGTTTAGGTGTACAACACCTGCATTTTCCCTTGGAACAAGGTTTACTAAAACATGGATTAGGCAAAAAAATCCAGTCAGTGAATCCTGAAACCAGGGAAAGGTCTTCTAGGCTCACTGTCTACCTAAGGCTTTGACTAAGATCCTCTCCTGACATGTAAACCAAGGTAACACTAGTACTGTAGTTCAGAAGTTGGTCTTAAAGGGGAAATATACAGATATAACTTACTTTTCTTTTATTAAGTAGAAAAGTGAGTAAGTTAAATATTTGCAAACAGACTTTGATAAAGCTTATGTAGAATCACTCTTGCTAGAGCAAATATACTCAACCATTTAATCACTTCCCATACTAGCAGAAATGCATATCACATCTTTTGTTTGTAGGATTATCACTTTTCAAGGGACATCAATTTTGAAGTTACACAGTGGTTCAATTCCTTCTTCTCTAGTGCCCTGCCCAGCACTGATTTTCCAAAAACTTATAGGGAAAGGCAGGGGAGAGTTCCATTTTTCAATAAAAAACATTTGGTTTTTCGGAGAGCCTTCCCTGAGACCTGGCACCACCCAGTGACACAGTAGGTAGTTCTCCTTCTGCCTTTTGAAAGGAGGTCTCTTCAAAGCCTGACTAATGTATCAGAAGCCATTATAGGATTAAAGAGCTCCTAAAGAGTAAAGACTCACTTCTAGGAGATGCCCAGTAATTGTTTATTTCTAGGACTGTAAATGCTGCAGTGAAAATATACAATGCTTTCATGAGCCTCAGAGTTAGTACATCCAGAGATGTACAGAAGACTCATCCCCGAACACTGATTCAGAGAACCCACATATATTTTTGGTACAAGTGAATTCTCTGTTGAATTATTTAGCTTTCTATATGAAAAAGTCCAGATTAAGAAAAGGATGTTGCTTTGACATTGCTCTGCAGGTATGATCACGCTCATGAAATGATCTTCAATTCAGGCTTAGACTCTTCCAGGGCTCTCAGTTCATCATCCACTTCAGAACTCCAGAAAATGTCATATAAACTATATCCAAACAAAAAGGCAAGCTGGTTTAGTGAGCATCCTCCCATTAAGGAAGTAAAAAGATGCACAAATGGCAGGTATGAGAAGATCATATAACATGAAGGGCCCTGTATAGGTTGGAGTCTGGTCCAACAGCCAGAAATATGCCTTACAGCATGTCATTTGGAGGGAGGAGGACTGCTTTGCAACATGCAAATGACATTTAACCCTGGGTCACTAATAGCCCTCAGGTGCAATTCCCAGATCGCCAGTGCTCATGGCCCCCTCCCCACAGCCCCCCAGCTCCCTGAAGCTCACCACCTGCCCGGGGGAACACAAGCAGAACCACAAACATCTCTCACATTAACTGCTGCACATTGCAGCTGGGACTCCTCAAGGCTTCGCAGATCTTCCTGATGCCTTCATCTTCCAAAGAGTTGTAGCTCAGGTCCAGTTCAGTAAGGCACTGCTTGGTAGCCATGATGGTGGCAATGGTTGCACAGCAGGCTGCTGTGAGATCGCAGTTACCCAGCCTGCATGGAGAGGATAGAGAGGAGGGAAAGCCAGTGCAGTGACATATGGCTCCAGAGACCATCCCACACTCAAGCAGCAGGCAAAGACCAGAGATCCCCATTAAGCTGGCATGCTGTCAGCCGAGCTTGGTCCATGGTCTTCCCATAGAGACTGCCATCCTCACTGTGACTGCTGAACACCTAAAAGTCCTCCCTAAAGCTTAATGGTGTGTGGGTACAGGGGAAGAAAGAACCTCAAGAAGATGTTAGCAACTTCAACATCATGCATAATCTCATATTTGGTTTAAACTTATCATAAATCACCTCTAAAAGTTTCTCACTTCAGATTTGCAACCATCTCTCTAGAAAGGGCAACCAAGGCCTCTTAGCTTGGAACCAAGTAGCTTTAAGTGGTCAAGAAACACACCTTTATGGGCAGAGACTTCCAAGTTTTACTGATGCTCAACTCACTCACTGTGAGTCTCAGGCACTGGAGCACAGCTCCAGCTTCTCTCAGATGGTGTGGAGGAGACAAGCACAGAGCCCCAAGCATCATACAGGCCACAGCCACAAATGAGCCTGGTGCCCAAATGAGAAGGGAACAGGCAGATAGCAAAGGCAAGTCCCACCACAGGGGTGGAGGTGATGGTCCAGCTGGCCTCCAGCTCCTGCTGGTGAGGATGGACCAGCTCTTGTGCTGGCACCCACAGAGACTATGGGAAGCAGAAGGCAACTGATGAATCCAGTCAGGCTTTGCATTGTGACTGGCAGGCATGGGAATCAACACACCAGACCTGGACCAGCAGTTACTCCATCTCAGTGTCCCACCTGAGAGAGGCCCTGTGGATGAGTTCAGAGAAGCACATGGGAAGGACTACAGTGAGCTGCTCACAAAACAAATCAAGATCTCTTCAGCCTCCCCACTTTTCTTTAGATCCTGAAGGTACACTGCATTGTGAACTTTCCATTCTGTACCTAGGAGAGAACTGTTGGACAGCTAGGAATGCACCATCACATGGGTGTACAGCCTGTACTTGAAAGAGACCATGAGTGACAGGATACACGGAAGCACTTGTGGCTTCCTCAGACTTTTTAGTGGACTAATTAAATAACAGTTTGTGGTGCGAATTGTCTCACGCGAGCAGAAAAAATATCATGCTACCATCTATTTCTTTCTTCTTCTCTCTGCATGTCTTTCTTTGAAGGGTAATACAGCAAGAAAGAAGACTTCTCAGGGTGCATCTTACCATAGGGACTGGATGTTGCAGTTAGGATGCAGTAGCCCTTCACACATGAGTTCAACGCCTGCATCTCCCAACTTGTTCTCACCCATATGCAGTATTTTCAAGTGCTTGTTCACACTGAGAGCAGAACTGACAGCCTTGCAGCAAGCAGTCGTGAGTCCACACTCCCTAATCCTGCAAAGGAAAAGTGACATGAGATCTAGATGAGAAATCTAGAGAGCATCAGGCAGCTTTCACTTCTTCACATTTGCTTCACAGGAGCCTGGACAGTGGGAACACATAACAACTGTACTCCTATCAATACCCCATCTGCTCAATCCTTTCTATGCAGCACTTCTCCCACTCTTTATATTTGGGATGTCTGTCTCAGAGTGTGCACTTAGGAAAGACATCTGCCCATAAAGCACAGGAATGATCAGTGATGAAGCATGCTGCTGTTACAGTCACTCTCAGCTCCACCGTGCACTCCTGAAGCACCTCATCAACTCCCAAGCCACCAGGGCAGGGGAAGAACCCAGCAGGGGGCAGGAAATGAGCTTACGATGTAGGAAAGTTCAAGTGCTGCTTGAACTTGCAAGTTCTATGTGAAAGAACAATTTTCCTCTCCTGGCCATACAACAGACCATCCTAAGATAAGAGGTAACACTCTCAGCAGATAGGATGCTGAGAATGGTTTATATCATTAGAGCCTTCTTTTGACTTATCAGTGACAGAGCTTGAATCCAGTGGAGAATCTGAGATACACTATCACAGCACTTGTTTTGCTATTACAGGAGGCCTTTCAAACTTCAAAAGTCTATTAGCTGCCATCTGTTGCATGATAAAATATATTAGCCAAAAGCTCTGTAAGCTTAGTCTCCTATTGTTTATAACAGGATTACTATGGGGCTGATCTTCAAAGTGTCTATAACTTCAGAAATATAAATTTCTTTATTCCTTTAGGTAACAACTATCACGAGTTGTTCTTGGAACCACTGCATCTGGGTAACTATCTGATGGGCACTGCTTCACCTACATCTTTCTTCAGTGAAGTCTCTGAAGAAGGCAATGGGTATGTGAAGCTTCACAGCAGCTTACCATAGCTCCTGGAGTTTAGATTTGGGATCCTTGAGTGCCTGACACAGCATTTCCATCCCTGAGTCTTTCAGGTTGTTGTCTATCAGACTGATCTCTGTGAGGGTCTCTTTTGTACTGATGAGTCTGGAGAGATTCTTACAGCTAGCACTTGTGAGATCACAGTCCCATAACCTGCAGGGAAGAACAGAATATTATTTTCCCCTCAAAAATGACTTAAATTAGAAAACAGAGTAATATTTTAGTATTCTGAATTTCCGTTTACATCATCTCATTTTCTTCTATCCTTTGCAAAACCCATTCATGGTTACCCACTCATCATAGCACACAGCCTTCTCCTTACTTTCCATCATTTGCACCAAAAGCTCTCTTTGTAACACAAAAACACGAACATACAATTCTAGTACACAGATAAATCAACATGAAGCCAAGACAATAGCAACACAGATTTCCATTCACCCTCTGCCCAGAATTTGATCCAAGTGATGTCAGTGCAGTTCTGCTCATTTATGCTGTGCTCCAGTTTTGAGAAGGAACAAACTAGCAGCAGAGGCACTCGTGTTTCACTAGGGGATGTAATTGACAAATTTTCCACACAGGACCAAACCAGCAGCACAAAGCAGAGAGCTGCAAGAAGGACTTACATAACCTCTGCCTGCCCTTACCAGAGCTTCTGGATTCTGCAGTTAGGATGCATCAGTCCTTGGCACAGCAGAGCCAGACCAGAATCTCCAATCTTGTTATCCCCCACAGAGAGATCTATCAGTGATGACTTGTTACTGAGAAGAGTGCTGATCTCCCAACAGCTATTGCTGGTTATGCCACAGTTCTCCAGGCTGAGGAAAAAGCACAGTTGGAGTTCTTGCTCCAGGTCTGCTGTGTTAAGATACACCCCAGCACCCTCCGTTCTGACTGAGAAGTGGCTATGAGCTGGTTCCTTGCTGCAAATCAGTGCAGCTCAGCTGCGTATTGCTAGACCCTGCAAGGCTCAGATGATACAGGTATCCTAGTCAAGCTCTGGGTGAGGCAACACATTGCTGCCACACTCCACAAGGTTGCAGGGCACTTTTACTTTGACCCAGCCATTCACATCCATTAATGCGAAGAATGTTCTTGTCAAACTCCCCCTTCATATTGACTGTCCTTTTTAAGAGGAACCTTTGCCTGTATCACACAGCGAGTCCCTGGCATTCAACCCCAACTGAAGCACAGATGCAAGATAAACTGAATTGTGCTTCTCCACTAAACCCATTCAGGGGCTTTACCCCAAATACACGGTCAAATCCAGTATCAATGTTTTGAAGCAAAAGAGGGTTCTGAATAAATATACTAAAGATGGCTGGTAATTCAGGGGTAAGAACTGGAGTGACTAACGGCAATTGCTCCTCTGCTCTCAGATACCGGCAAGCAGTCAGACCTTGTAATTGCAGTTTTAACCTGGGATACATAACCTCACTGTACCAACAGGTCCAATAGCAAGCTCAGAATCACATGCTAAAAATAAGGTCTAAACCCCCCAAAACTGAAAGCCCCACACATATATTTACAGTTTCCAGTTACAGAAATCTGAGCAAAAAAATTTCAAGCATTTGTGACAATAATCTTTCCTGTTTTATGGACAGTATGACTAGCAACAGAACTACTTCCAGTTAGAGATGACCAGCTCTTCCTTACTGTAGTAACTCTAGGTTGCAGCTTGCCTCCACCAGTCCCTGACACAGCTGCTTTACAGCTGTATCTCCCAGCGTGTTGTTACTCAGACTCAGCTCCTTCATGGTGGGCTTGCTTTGCAGGGCAGCATTGAGAGCTTCCACAACATCAGCTGTGAGTTCACAATACTCCAGCCTACGAGAAAGAAGTAGTCCAGGGGAAAAACAACTGTCTTCACCATGTCCTGCTACCTGCAAGACATCAGCTAGGCAAAATGTGTTAGGCAGGGCAAAAAACAAACCAACATGAGTTGAGACCAGGTAACACATGAAAAGAGACATAATGGTAAGAGCTATTAACAGCATCTCCTGCCTATTTCAGGAAGCAATAATTCTTAAACTAGATCCCAGGGGACCCTAACAAGACTAATTCCCACCCCATTTTTACACTAGCCCTCAATTAAACCAATGCACAGGCTACCTTGGAATATATGACTGAGTTTTGCATTGCAGCACACCACGCAGCCTCATCACCAAGCCTTCCCAGGAGAAGCTCAGGGCTGTGAATAGACCTGGGTTCCACTCAATTGTATAACAAGGACCAAGTGCAGCAGAATCAGGCCTCCTCTGGCCATCTGAGAGGTCCTGCATTAGCAGTCGCCACTGCCAGAAGGGCTAAACAAAGCCTATGGGAACAGACGCCCAGCTCTTACAAACCCATGAGACCTACCAGCATGAATAAGCATGACACAATTTCAGATAAAACAGAAAGAAATCCACATCTGGCAACAAACTCCCGCTTAGCTCATGGGAAAAACAAGCATGACCTGTCTGATGACAAAAAAACCCAGTGACTACTTACTGCAGCTTCTGCAGCTTACAGTTGGGGTTCATCATCCCTTGACAAAGCATCTTCACTCCAGCAGTTCCAAGTTTGTTATCACCTACATGCAGCTCTGTCAAGGATGGCTGTACACTGAGGACAGAGCGGAGAATCTCACAGCTGGCACTTGTTAGGTTGCAGTTTTGCAGCCTAAAGGAGAGAGACAACTGGGGTGAGGACATGCACCCCCAGAATTACAGAGACTCTTCTCAGAGAAGTGCACCTGCTGATATTTGAGCTTGGAAAGGATACTGACATGATATCATGATAGTGACAGTGCAGAACCCTCTAGAAAGCAGTATGTCCAGGTTAGAACTACTATTTTACAGATGTGTAAAAATATTTTATCAGCTAGTATTACACCTGTAGCACAGACAGTAGCTCACATACTTCCTTCAGTGCAATGACTCATATAGGATCACTAGCAGAAGAAGGATTCACCCTACATTAAGTATCACTGCGACTGCTTTATAGAAGTGTTCTAATCATATGAGTTTTATCCCAGAGATAAAGCAATCATTTCTTGCCCCCTTTAGGAATGTGATCCAGAGTAGCTAAAAGTAAAAATTGTCATTCAACTTGTCTTAAATCCCTGGATATTACTTAGAAGTTTAATGGTATACTATAAGAAAGATCTATGAAGATGATCCTTCAGCACTCAGGTTAGGAGAAGCAGCACAGTAACTGCACCGTTATTGCTATGGGGTGTTGGGAGTTATCAGACAAGACTTTCTGGCAACAGAGAGGCGTTGTGCATGGTGGTACAAAGTTTGACTAGGTTTCATTGCTCTTTTATTCTCTAAGGCACCTTACCAAAGTCCCAAAAATGGACAATTATGCTTCTGCAGTACTGAAACAGCCTAATCCAGGCTGTTATTTGAGCATATGGAACACTCTGAAGCTTAGAAAAAACTCTCTGAAAAATTACTTGTGGTAGTTTCCCAGTACAGCACCACAGTGAATTTCTTAAGACCCATCAGAGAGCTGCAGCTTGAGTAGCTTCACAGTCAACTTTCCCTCTATTTGTCAGTGAGTCCTCATGGCAGGGGGCACAGGGACTTTGAAGCAGGCATATCTGATATAAAAGGCAAATTATTTTTACAAGGTAGAGGCCAGGATCTTCATGACACACCTCTGGAGCTGGAAGACTCCAGTACCCTGCAGAAGAGATGCTGGACAGAAGAGGTAGCATCTCTTTTAGGGTCACTGGTAGGAGCAGGAGCAGCAGCCACTGGCTTTGACTAAAGCTTCTGTGCCATGGTTGCTGAGGGAAACCCAGTAATGCTATAATGTGGTGCTGATGCCCCTGCAAAACATGCTGTCTTGAACTGAGCTGGCCCTGTCCAACTGAGAAGACAACGCTTGAGGCAGAGCCAGTCTGGTAGAGTGCAGAAAGACTAACAGCTCTTGCAACATCAGAGCTCACAAGAACTCTTTCGCTTGGCTTCTAGAGAAAGGAGTGAGCAAACTGGACCAGACACTAAATGCTGTACTTGTAACTGTCAGAAGAGCTCTCTGAAGAATGCATTTGTGAAAATGTCAGGTATGTGCTAATGACAGATTAGGGCCTTCCATGGTCATCCTTTTGTTTAAACTGGCCTAAACAGATAATCCAACTGCCTAGGCCAGGGGAAGATGTGCTACCTCTTCTAAAGAAAGTCTCCAGAAAGCCTTTGCTTGGCTGGAAAAACTCTACCTGTCCTTCCCTAAGTGCTGGAACACAGACTGCTGATCTGGAATCTTCCAATAAGTATAATACTTTGATAAAAACCCTTGGAGTTTTCCAGCCATCTGACCTAGGTAATTGCTGAGATGAACTGTCATGGCTCTTTACTGCTATCACATACTGATTTGCCTCTCGACTTCACCTGCAGCAGACTGCAAGCAACATGATCAACAGGGCTTTACCATAACTTCTGTAGGTTACAGGTTGGCATCAGCAATCCTTTACACAGGTATTCAATGCCTGCATCTCCCAGCTCGTTGTTGTTCAGCTTCAGGTCTGTGAGAAATGGGTTTGTATTGATGATAGAGGAGAGATCCTTGCAGTTACTGCTGGAGAGATTGCAGTCATCTAGCCTGAAAGAGGGAGAAGGAGCACTTTAGTCAGGATTATACTGTTCTCCCTGGCTGGAGCACTTCCTGTGAAAGCAAAGTGGATGATTTAGTCCTCTGCAGCCCTGGTACACCTCCATAAGTACATGTGTGACCTGTTGGGTAATGCACAAACCAAGAAATGCTCTCTCTCTAGGGCTGCAGTACAAGAAGGGCTGGATGGCAGATCCTTAAGCCACAGACCTCCTCCGTGATGTGTGGAAGAGGGCACGAGTCAAGCCATGCCCCCAGCAGGCCTTCAGCTGGAGGATTCATCTTCATTTAAACATTGATAGCAACAAACTGCCTGGTGTCTGAAGCCACATCTAACCAGAGGCAAGCTCATAGGCTTTCAATCTCATTCTACACTAAGACAAGCCAGGCTGGGTCTTCAGCCAGCCCCAGAGACACTCATGAGCAGTTTGGTCTCATGTAGGTGAGTCACGCCAGTCTGCACCATCTGTCTCCAGCATGACTCCCAGTATTGTGAGTTTGCAGTGTGGCAGTGACTTCTCCCACTGGACATTAGAATTTTTCTACTTGTTGCTAAATTGATGGGAGAAGCTAAATTGGAAGGAGAGATAAGGAAAGGATTGGGAGCTCAGGACGGGTAGGGAGGTATACAGAAAGGCAGAAAAGACATGGGGCAAAAAGAAAATGCCATGAAGAACCCCTACAGCCCCAGGCACTGCCACACTAGGACTGCCAAAACTTGCCTGGTTATTCCTCCTTAGACAATACTATGAAAACGTGAGGCTCTAGTAGGCTTCTCCTTTCCTGTGTCTGGCAAGGACAGCTGGCTCCCAACGAGATCATCTTCAATACTGATCACCAATCCCTGCCACAGCCATTCTCATTCACTATGTTTTGAGCAGCACAGCCTCTGCCCAGGAGCCAGCCACCCCACTGCCTTCAGACATCCAAGGCAGATTGATGGATGTCTTCTATCTGGACTGCTGCAAGGCCTTTGACATAGTCCCCCACAACATCCTCTTCTCTAAGTTGGAGAGATATAGGTTCGATGGATGGACTGTTCAGTGGATAAGGAATTGACTGGATGGTCACATCCAGAGAGTAGTGGTCAATGGCTCAATGCCCACGTGGAAAATGGTGACAAGTGGTATCCCTCAGGGATCTCTAATGGGACCAGTGCTGCTTAATACCTTCAATAATGATATTGACAGTAGCACTGAGAGCACCCTCAATGAATTTGCCAATGACACCAAGCTGGGTGGTGAGTTCGATACCCCAAAGGGACAGGATGCCATCCAGAGGGAGCTGGACAAGCTGGAGAAGTGGGCCCAGGTGAGCCTCATGAGGTTCAAAAAGGCCAAGTGCAGGGTCCTGCACCTGTGCCAGGGCAACCAGAGATATTAATACAGACTGGAGGAAGACATGCTAGAGAGCAGGCCTGTGGAAAAAAAACCTGAGGGTACTAGTGTTTGAAAAGCTAGACACGAGCCACCAATGTGCAACTGCAGCCCAGAAGGCCAACCACATCCTGGGCTGCATCAAAAGAAGTGTGGTCAGCAGATTGAAGAGAGGTGATGTCCCCTCTGTGGAGGTGTTCAAGGCCAGGTTGGACAGGCCTTTCTGCAACTTGGTCTAGTGGAAAGTGTCCCTGCCCTTGCAGGGAGGTTGGAACTGGATGATCTTCTAGATCCCTTCCAAACAAAACCATTCTATGATTCTGCCTCTCTCTTCACTCCTGGTGAGACCTCACCTTGAGTGCTGCATCCAGCTCTGGAGCCCCCAACACAACAAGGATGTGGACCTGTTGGAGCATGTCCAAAGGAAGGCAACAAAAATGATCTGAGGGCTGGAGCACCTCTCTTATGAAGACAGGCTGAGAATGTTAGAGTTGTTCAGCCCAAAGAAAAGTCTCCAGGGGTGACTTTCCAATACCTGAAAGGGCCCATAAGAAGGCTGGGGAAGACTAGGGCGTGTCATGACAGGACAAGTGATCATGGTTTTAAGGTAGAAAAGGGTAGATTTAGGCTGGACATTAGGAAAAAGTTATTTGAGGGTGGTTGAATCACTGGAAAAGGTTGCCTAGAGAGGTGGAGGCCCCAATCCTGGAGACATTCAAGGTCAGGCTTGATGGGGCTCTGAGCAATCTGTTCTAGTTGGAGATGTCCCTGCTTATTGTAAGGAGGTTGGACTGGATGACTTTTAGACGTCCCTTCCAACCCAATACATTTTAAGATTCTATGACTTTGAAAAGCCAAGGTCAGGCCCATGAAGCTTGCCTGCAAAAAGCTCCTTTGCAAAACAAAAGCAAGTCATCTTCAACCTGTCTGACTTCTTTCAAGTCATTGCTGGCTTGATGCAGCCTGTCTTCTACAGCCCATGAAAGATGATGCCTGTCTGTCTGAACTGCTAACCAGAAGAGAGGGAAGAGTTCAGAAGCAAGTATTCTGAACTTAATCCTACAGCTTACACTCCAGGAGAAGGTTCCCTCACACTGGTTTGCCCAACACACAAGGCATGTACTTTTGAAGGCCAAGTGAAGATAACAAGTTAATGGCATGTGGCTTGTGCATGAGTATTTAGGCTACTCGACATCTGACCTGGAGCCTGGAGAGTGTGCAACCTAATAAGCTGAAAGCTTTCTTACCTTGAGGGAGAAAGACAGAACTACCAAAACAGAGGTGAAATGTTTAGATAACCACATTACCATACATGCCAAGGCAGCATTACTTCTTACCGATGGATGCTTATCTAAGCTACAGGTTAACAGTTCTGAAGCTGAAAAACAACAAAGAGAAATGCAACAGTTCTCAGAAGAGATGATCTGCAACTACCAGTTACTACCTGATGGTTTTGCACGATTTCATTGTGGACACCAGTTCAGCCCATCTAGATGGGCTCATCTCCTCGCACTGGATGTCAAGCTCCATTTTGACAGCCTGGATAAGATCTGGAAAAAAAAAAAAAAAAAAAAAAGTTTTATTTTAAACTCAGCCACAAACTATGGCATGCAAAGAGGACAGGCTGTGTTTTTACAACACCAGTCTGCTGCAAGCACCAGTACAGGCCAGCAGCATCACAGTGGGTTTGCCTGGGACCTGGCCTCCTCCTCCAAAAAAACCCCACTGACGTTTCACCTCTCTCAGGACAAAAAAGCTAAGCCCTGCACCTTCCTGCAAGCTAAGAGGGAATCCTGCTTCGGGTTCCGTATCTCCGAGCACC